GAGGAGCTGATACCAAGGGCTCAAGTAGAAAGAAAATGTTTTGGCGACGATGATGGCAGCATATGTACAAATGTGCTTGATACAATTGATGTATGGATTGTTATAAAAGCTGTAAGAGCCCCCAGTAAAATTATTTATTAAAATATATATATTTTAATTACAGATATAAATATTTACAAAAAAGGTTCTCAGTATGTAAATGGACATCACCTGGTTATGTTGAGATCCACAAGTCTACAATGGAATAGTTGATCAATAAGCACCAAATTTTCTTGTTCCAGTTTATGAATAGCACATTCTAATTCTTCAACTTCCTTCCTGTGAACAGCAATCTGGTTCCAGAGAAGAAAATGGATGTTGGCACATGCTTACTTAGTCTTCTATAAGAAATTCAACTCTAAAAATGCATTTGCCTGAAGGAAAGATCCATTGTATATTATTATATCACTGGAGGTGGAGTTTACATGAACTTTACATAATTTATCTGTAGACCTCCAGATCATACCTAAAAGTGTGTGCTACTGAAGTGACTCAGGTAGGGACAGGCTAGGCCAGAAAGATCAACTTGTAGAATAGGATGACCTTAGGGTAGGTGAGCTGATTTATTCTGTCATAAATCAAGGTATCAAAATAAGATTCCATAAAGGCTCTGGACACGAAAGCTCCAGGGGCTTCCTGGCTGGTGAGAGACTCAATGCAAGTCAAGAGTAGTGTGCCCCCTCTGAGGACATGATGCTTCATATTGGAAACACACCCAGAGGTTGCATCTTTGTCCTGGTATCTGTTTTGCTATAATAAAACTCCAGTCATATATAATCACTCTCCATGAGTTCTGTGAGTCTCTCTACCAGATTTTTAGACTTAAAGGAGCAGAAAGAGCCAGCACATCAGAAGTTGTGAGCTTATGTGAGTGCTGAGCTTACGGCCCGTGGCCTAAAGGGGGAGAGAGAACCCCAGGGTTTGTAGCCCAGCTGGCCAGAGTCCCCTGGGCACTCCTGAGCTTGCAGCTGTCATTGGGAAGGAGTAGTGGTAAAGCCAGGAACTTACAGCTAGCCCTTCAGGAGCCAGAGTGTACGAGGGGGTCTCAAGCTTGTGGGTGGTGTCTGAGGTCTTGAGAAGACATGCTAGTTGGGGTAGAGGTCTGGGGTAGGCTGGGTCTTTTAACTTGTGAGATTGAACCTAGCTCTGGATAGTTGGAATCAGAGGAAGAAGTACTACACACATTGCAGCTGGTTTTAGAACAGAAGTGAAGCAGAGGGGAACAGACTGGTAATGGGTTAC